GGGATCTTCCCGGACTGGGGCACGAACCCGTGTCCCGTGCATCGGCAGGCGGACTCTCAACCACTGCGCCACCAGGGGAGCCCCAGACCTGACATTTTTGATTGAAGTGAAACTGACTTCGAGCCTCTTTTCTGGCCTGCAATTTTTTATCCCAAGCCCGGGACCCTGTAAATGTAGCTTAGGCAAATTCTGCCTTAACTGTACTATCTTATATGACTAAATCTTCCAGCCTTCCATATAGATTCAGAAAGCACCTGCATACGGACATGTTCTTCTGGCTGCATATTTTTACCAGTTGTATACTCTGAGTATATAGTTGCCTCTCTGTGTATGCTTTTTACAGACTCTTTAAAACCTAGGCTTAGGCTTGGGAAGAAGGCTCTTTCCTCACAGCTGCCAGTTTCTGCAGTGGACAGGCCCAGGACATTTCAGAGTCAACATTTAAATGTCACCATTCTGCTTTTAGGAGAATGCCCAGGGCTCTATTCCATGTCTACCTTACCTATAGATCTGGAGGGCAAAGGAGCTGGGGCTGATGGGAAGGGGTGGAAGAAGAAAAGCTGTTACCCTCCGAGCATGGTATTCTGGGCACTTTATCCATATTAAACTATTAAATCTTCATGTCAACTTTGTGCCATTCTCATTTTACAAATGAGGAAACTTCCCAGAGAGGTCAGATATCCTTTTAAGGTCACATAGATAGTAAGTGGAAAGACCAAGGTTAGAAGACCAGGGCCCCATTGGGTGCTTTTTGCACCCCCCACCATGAGGCTCATGAGAAAGTGTTGAGGCAGAAGAGACTCCAGCTTCCCTCCCAGTGGCTGCACCCCAGCCCTGCCCCCACTCACTCTCGATGCTGTTGTTGTTGAGGTACAGGTGCTCCAGCTTGTTGCTGATGGCGGGCACATTGCTGATCTTGTTGTGCGACAGGTGGAGCACGAGGAGGTTGGAGATGTTAAAGGAGTTCTTGGGGAGGCCCCTGTCTGAGAGCTTGTTGTAGTTGAGGCGAATGAAGGCCAGGTTGGGGAAGCCCTTGAAGTATCCGCTGGGGATGGTCTCGATTTTGTTGCTGTCCAGGTAGAGCTGGTGAATGGCCACCGGGATCTTGGGTGGCATCTTTCTCAAGGTGTTGTGGGCCAGGTTGAGCTGCATGAGGTTTTTAAGGCCCTGGAAGGTGTCGGGCTTGAAGACGCCGTCACTTAGCCTGTTGTGTTGGAGATCCAGGAGCAGCAGTTTCTCCAGCTTGCTGAAGACGCCGGGTGGGATTCTGGAGATATGGTTCTGGCTTAGCCTCAGCTGCTCTAAGTTCTGGGGCAGAGCCGAGGGCACCTCTTCAAGGTGGTTCTTTTCCATGTAGAGGAACACCAGGCTGGGTAGTTTCTCTAGCACTTTCTGGTCCACCTTGCGAATTCGGTTGTTGTCCAGGTTGATCCACCTCAGGCCCGTGGCGTTCTTGAAAGACTCCACTGGGAGCTCAGTTATGAAGTTGTTCTGGAGATAGAGGTAATGGATGCGGGATGGGATGAGAGGGACCTTTCGAAGATTGCGGCTGTCACAGTAGAGGGCAGATGGGAAATCAGGGGGGCAATAGCACTCCCGGGGACAGTCAGGAAAGACAGATGGAGGGCCTGGTGGGAGGGGAGGAGGCAGGTCTGTAGGCTCCGATGGCTCATGGGGCTGAGGAAAGCGGGGTGTGGGCCTGAGTCTGGGCTGGAGCCTTGGTCTGGGTCTTGGTCGTCTTGTTGGCTGGCCTTGGGCCTCTGAGGCCAAGATGAGGAGAAGTGGGAGGAGCCAGCAGAGGGATGACCTCATGATCCAGGTGACGCCCCTGTGGGGAGGAATACAGGAAGTCATCAGCCTGCTGGGCCTCAGTAATGAGAGGTCATGTCTTTGCAGCTAGAGTTGGTCAGAATGGGCTCCACGGGCAGCTGTGGGAGGGACCTGTGGAAGCATCTCCTTGTTTGCCTGTATCCAGCAGGTAAGAAAGTAACAAGGGCTGGAGGGTCTGGATCCCTCTCCCAGAGGCCTAGCCACTGAATGTGTTAAGCCTGCTGTGGAGAGTGTGAGCCATCCTGGTAGAAAGCACATTGGGCTGTGAATCAGGAGTCCCAGGGTTTCCTGGAGAAGACCCTTAACCTCTCTAGCCCTCGGTCTCCCCATTTGCATCATGAGAAAATCATCCCTCCACTATACTCCCCTTATAGGAGGGATGTTAGAATATGTGAGCCATAGAGTCCTGGGGTGTTACATCTGCAGGCTCCTTATGGATCCCATAACTCGGTGGTTTTCAAACTGTGCCCCCATTTCTGTGGAGTCCTCCTGAGAGAGGGAGACCAAGGGGGTGGCCCTGGGGTACCCCCAACCCACCCCTGTGCCAACCTGAGCAGCTCTGTGTTTTTTTAATCTGTTATGTATATTGAGGTTTAGCCAAAGCATTCATTTGAAAAAAAAGTTGCATTGCTAAAAATGTTTTGAAATCCACCAATCAAGTCCAGACTTGACTATTTATAAAAATTGAGTACTGGAGGAAAGAAGTAGCTTGTGAAGGCCAGGAAGCTATGTAACAGCAGACCCAGGACAAAACCCCAGGTCTCCACGGGCTCACAGCGCTCTTGGGAAGGAAGTGCTGCAGGTACCCTTGTGTCTGCCCTTGATCACCCCTCACCCCTAGCGCTCAGCTCAGGGAATGCTGGTCTTTGTCAGCAGGATACACACCAAGAATTTCTCCCCAGATGTGGAGGCCCCTGAGGAAATAAACAAGGAAGGAACTGAAAGCTATGGGGAATACAACAAACTGGTGAATATAACAAAAAGGAAGCAGACTCATAGGTATATAGAACAAACTAGTGGTTACTAGTGGGGAGAGAGAAGCAGGAAGGGGCAATACAGAGGTAGGGGATTAAGAGGTATAAACTATTATGTATAAAATAAATTAGGATATATTGTACAACACGCAGAATATAGCCAATATTTTACAATAACTATAAATGGAGTGTAACCTTTAAAAGTTGTGTATCACTGTGTTGTACACCTGTAACTTATACAATATTGTACCTCAACTATACGTCAATTAAAAAAAAGGCTGTGGGGGTCATTTCTTCTGACCTGGTATTGCTGCTTTCCATATCCATTGGAGTTGGTGGCATTGAGGTAGGATATAAAGAAGAACTTCCTGCCTCAGAGACATAGTGGAATAGGTTGCTAAAGGATGTTTTCGGGTTGCCCTTCCCCTTGGTCCTGATGACACCTCAGACAGGGCCATGTACTCTGAGTTGAATTAAGCTGGGGAAGTTGCAGTAGACCCAAGTCTGCAGATGGAAATTGGCTTCTCCCATAGACTTGCTCCCCTGGCCTGGCTGGGTTACCTGTACGTTCCCCTCCCAGGGCCATCATCCCTGTGACAGCCCCTCTGGTCTCCCTCTGGGGTCTCTGTTTCCACATTGCTTCCAATGGCCCTCCTTGCTGCTGCTTCACAGTTGTGGTGGTCTGTCCCTCTCCTTCCTGGGGTCTGGGACACATTGGAGATGCAGGTTCCTTGGGGTGCCCTGCAAGAGAGTGGGCTGGAGTGTGTCCCCAGCTGCATCTGGACCCTGTGAAGCCTCTGTTCCAGGCTTCCCCTCTCTTTCCTTGGAGCCCACATCTTTCCTTGTGTGACCCAGTGCCGGCTTCAAGGGAAGACGATAGAAGCCCCTCACCAGCTCCTTAGTCCTGAGTCCGATGCTCGGGAGGAGCTGAAAGCGACAAGAAACAGGAAAGAGAACAGAGCCCACCCTGGAAGGGCAGAGGGCATCTCCCCACACCTTTCACACATACCCCCTGGACACCCAGCCTGCACACTCTCACACACACACACCACTCCTCTCCCTGTACCACACGCATAAGCAAACGCACGCTCCTCTGTCGTCTGTGTGCATGAGTGAGTCCTCATAGAGGATACTGAGTATGGGAAGGAAGGGGAGGAAGAAGGCGGAAGACAGATGAGGACGGAGGAGGGAGGAGACTCTGCCCTGCAGCTTCTGTTGCTTCTTCCCCTCCCTCTAAGGTGGTCTCTTCCCAGGCAGACCTCTCCAAGGGGTCCCGGAGTACCATGTCCCCTGGGCCTCCCATCACAAAGGACCTTGCAGTTAGATTCTTGTCTTTACCTCCAGTTGAGGATGTAACAGTCTTAGGGACACACCAAAAGGACTGAGAAGAAAAGACATTCATTGTAAAACCAAACTTGAGTCTTGTTGCCGGACCCCACACCACTTGTAACTGGTGAACCATGAATTAATATGTTACAAGTCCTGTAATTTTCTTGAAGATAGCACAACCATATCGCACATAGATTTTAAAGAGGTGGTGAAAACATTAGTGTACGAAAATCAAACATTTTTAAGAGCCCCAAGTTTTGTGACCTTGAATTTTTTTGCTTTGGCGTTTTTTATTTCCTGATCGCCCAGAAGCCTGACAATAAGCAAGAGTTCTCTCGTGGTGTGAGAAGCCCTAGGGGTGTTTCTTGGTGGTTCAGGGCCTGGGCAGCACTTGGCCTCATTGTCAGGGGTGACAGAATCACAGTTTAGTCACAGCTCCACCTGGCAGGCCTGCCCTCCACTCCTTCCATCCACATGAACACAGGACTTCCACATCCCCTCGCAGAGCTGAGAGCAGGTTCCTACAGAGAAGCTCCTGGGCCTGTTCCGTGGAGAAACTGGATCTGTTCAATTCCCCTTCTCTTAGCCTGTGGCTGAACCATTCTCTGTGTGTGTGTGTGTGTGTGTGTGTGTTTGCATGCGCACACACTTCCTTCTTTAGGAAATAGTGCTCACTTCTAAGGCTTTTCTTATCAGGTAGTGCCCTGTCCTGCTGGAGTCTGGGCAGCCCCCAGAGTCTAAGTCTCCAAACCAGAATTTGTGACAGATTGGAGGTCCTTGGACTCCAAGGGGAGCCACAGTCTTCCTCACAAAGCCCAGAGTCACACCTTCTTATGTTCATGTCTTCCAGAACCTTCTGTCCAGTCATAACAGTGCCTTAGGCTGGGTCGTAAGTGTGTGTGAGTTTTAAATTTCGTATGCCTTTGCAAGCACGCCTCCCAGCTTTCTGCCAGGCTGTGCTCACTGCTTGCTCAATGAACGCATGTGGACCACCTAGAACCACTCACCTCCTGCAGCCTGTTCACTAGCATCGGTTCTCAAAAAGCTGCTCGTTTGTGGGGGGAAAGCAATTGCTTTGACCGACCCAAAATTCACTCCCTCATTTAAGAACATTTTCTTTTTTTCTTTTTAATAAATTTATTTATTTATCTTTTGGCTGCGTTGGGTCCTCGTTGCTGCGCGCAGGTTTTCTCTAGTTGTGGTGAGCGGGGGCTGCTCTTCGTTGCGGTGCGCAGGCTTCTCATCGCGGTGGCCTCTCTTGTTGCGGAGCATGGGCTCTAGGCACGCGGGCTCAGTAGTTGTGGCTCACGGACTTAGTTGCTCCGCGGCATGTGGGATCTTCCCGGATCAGGGCTCGAACCCATGTCCCCTGCTCTGGCAGGTGGATTCTTAACCACTGTGCCACCAGGGAAGCCCTAAGAACATTTTCTAAGAGAGTTTTAAATTCAAATTTCAGCTCCAAGTATTAGAGATTTGGGCTTGAATCCTGGCTCTGACCCTCTTCCTCAGGCCCCAGGCTCCTCAACTGTGTGAGGATCACACACATTAAGGCATGTTGTAGAGCATAAAATCTCTACAGATGGCAGTAGTTTCGTTTATTCATTTATTTGTTTATAAAAGGGCATATTCTCTAGAGAGACTCTGACCTATTTATTTATTTTTTTTAGGCCGTGCTGTGTGGCATGTGGGATCACAGGGTCTCAACCTCTGGACCACCAGGGAAGTCCGAGAGACTGATTTTTAAAGTGAGATAGCCCTGTCCCTGCTTAGCTCATAAATTCATTCATTTAAGGTTCAAACTCCCAGGATCCTTGCAATGTTTAGCCTCAGGACTGGGGGCAGGGTTGAGGTCCACATGGGTTTGCCAAGTCATTAGGGCAAGTTTACGGGTAAATGGCTTTGTATGGAGAGAGTCTAGGATTGGGGCTGGGCTGGGAGTGAGGTTAGGTGTGTCTCCCCGGGTCAGAGAAGGATGACTCCACGCTACTTCCTGGTGTTCTTCTTTCTTGTCAGATTCCCATCTAGTTTGTCACCCCTGAGCCTCCATGGTTTAACACAGCCAGTGACCCTACCATGGAGGATGGGGTTGCCCCTGGACACACCCATGGACATTGGGATGACCCTCTTTCTTTGTTCCCTTCCTTCTGTCCTAAACTCAGACTTCTGAAAGCCATCCTGTTCCCTTTATCTCTTCCTGAAGTCCAGAAGAGAGTTGGAAGCTAGGTGAATCATGTGGTCTCTGATCAGCTGTTAGCAGAGGAGTGAGGCAGGCCCAGCCAGGCTGCCTGAGACTCTTCCAAGGCCTCCAAGTAGGGCTTGTGGGGTCCTGAGGTAAGGAAAGGGTTGACATGGAGGCATGATAAATTCAGCACATCACTGATGCACTGTCCCTTTCCTGGGGAGTGAAATCAGAGTAAGGGTGAGCCTGATTGGGGCAGAGGCAGGGAGCGCATCATGGTGCATATTAGACAGGGGACGTGGGGTCACAGCCCGTCTACCTCGACCTAGTGACGTGACCCTGTTCTCGCCTCAGTTTTCTTATCTGTAAAATGGAGATAACGAAGTCTTCCCTATCCCTATCTTCCTCATCCAGTTGTTTTCAGAAGTAAGTGTGATAAGCAACTTTAAAATATGCTACAGATCAGAAAGTGCTAAAAATCAATATAACACTATTATGGAGAGACAATCTGTCTCCCCAGTGTCTACCACCAGGCAAAGTGTAAACACAGTGTTTTTTTGGCCTCAGGCCACTAGTCCAGAAGAGCAAGTTTTCCATTCCAAGGGCCTGGGGAAGAAACAAGCGTGAGAATGGCTCTAGTCCTCTGACAGCCTGTCACCTCACCGTACCCTTCTCTCTGCCTCCATCCCCTAACATCTCCAAGCCCTGAATAAAACATACGAGAATCTGTCTGAGGCACTGGGTGCTTGTAGATGTGGGTCTCAACCCTGCAACTCTTCAGCTGTTTAGCTGGGTACTCTTGAGAAATCTCTTACCTCTACTAAGCTTCAGTTTCCTTATCTGTAAAATGGGCATACTAACACCTTCTTATCAGATAATTTTGAAGGTTAAGTGAGGAAATGTGTGAAAAGTGAGTGCTCAGTGAATGTTAAGCTTTTATTGACATTATTTCAGAGTAATGGGGTCTCTTTCCCTCCAGCTTGGCCAGAGGACAGCCCTGCCCTCCACCGAAAGGCTGATCTTTGCAGGTGGGCACATGGATTTCTCCCAACTCTCCTACACAGAGCAATTTCCTCCTCTTTGGGGCCTGTGAGACCACACTTGGGTCTCAGAACCAACAAATTAGAGAGAACACAGATGCCCCTGGCCATTCGGGGAACGTTTACTCTGTCCCTCCAATTCAGTAACCCCCACCCCTAGCATTTCTGAAGCAGGTGAGGGGATGCTGACCAGGGACGGTGCACTCTCCTGTCCTCAGCAGGCTGTGGAGTCCCACTGTGACCCATGACTTCCCATCCCAACCTTTTGCACCTAGCTTTTCTGCCCCTTCCAGCTTCTCCCACAGGCCCAATAAATAGGGCTGCCGCCCCCTCCCCCAGGAAGGCGAAGGGGGAGTGTTCAGCCCATCCTCTGTGTGAGCCCTTCAGAACAGACAGCTGTTGGGCAGGGGACGGATGGGGGGGGATCTAGAAGGAATGGAGGGGAGCCCCACGCATGCCCCTGGGGGCCCAGGGCAGGCAGATTAGCAGGTAAGAGGAAACATAAACTCTTTGGAGCTATCTTGGGGGAACTTTCTTTCTGGAATGTTCCCCCACAACATACCTGTCAGTGCTTACAATGAGAAGGGAGGGTGAGAGCTCACAGGAGGTCTTCCCTGTTCCCTCAGGTGCTTGTTTCTACTCCGCAAAAGAGGGTGGCTCACTTGGGACACTCTGGAGCTCCTCCATCAGACAATCCTTGTCCAGGAAGCCACACAGCCCTTCTGCGCAGCTAACTGCCAGAATCCTGGGCTCTTCAATTCCACACAGGTCTCCTTCAGGCCCCTGGTTCAGGTTCTCAAGCCCTAGCTGACCCTCAAGTCCTAAGACAGCAATAGATTCCTGGGTCTTGATCCAGTGGGTCTGGAGCAAGGGGTCCAGACATCTATATTTTTAGTAAGCACCCCTCTCCCGCTCCCCTGCACTCAGGGCATTTGGAAGATCAACCACATTTGGAGACCCTGCTCTAGCCCATGCCCTGCCTGCCTTGGGATAGCACTCTGTGTCGTCAAAGAGGAATGAGTTGGGGAGATGGAGAGGGACCACCCTATTCGGAAACAAGCCCCATTCAGTTGGCCACTTCAGTTTTCCCCTCCCTGATGGATTAAGGAACTACTGTCTTTTTTCCTCTCCCACAGGGACCCCTTACCAATGTGGGATAATTTTGAAGTGGTTTTAAAGAGAAATCTTTTCTAGCTGCCTGCAGAAAAAAGAAATGCATTGCCCCCAGAGCTGGGAATTAGTACCTCCAAAGTCAGAGCTACTAGGAAGACACTGTGCAGGTTGGAAACCTGCTTTTCTCTCTCCCACTCAATTAAATTCTAAAGAATGAAGAAATCCTTCCGGCTCCTGCAGTTGTTCATCCCCTTTCTACTCCGCCTGGACTCAGGACACATGATTTCTTTTGGCTCTGCCATCTCAGTGGGGAAGCACACTTTCTCTTTCCTCTTACAGTTGGGGAGGCATGTGAGAGGGCAAGAGACAAGATGCAGTGTGTATGCGTGTGCCTGTGTGTGTCCCTGCCTGTGTCTCATCACTATGTGCTCTAGCCCTGCATGTCATATGCAGAAGAGTGGAGGTGAATGGACAGGATGCCTTCATATTGTGTGTGTATTTGTGGCTGTGCCTGTGGAGTGAGAGTGCAGCCTCTGTGTGACACGTGTGTGTGCCTGTGACAGTGTGTGACAAAACGTGAAAGGTGCAGAGAAATGGGTTCTAGAGTAGGGTTTCTAAGGGAACTTGATCTGTAGAAATACTGTGTGCAGCATAACTCTGCGCTACAACAAACATCTGTACCAAGAAAGTTTAGCTTTTGCAACAAGCAAATACGAGGGTACAGAATGATGCAGAGAAGGAAGAGGGTGGAGAAGAAATGAGGAAGACTAATTTGAGCTCCTTCGAAAGGAGAAAAATTTTGTGGAAGGAAGGAAAGAAGGATGGAAGGAAGGGAGGGAGGGAGGGAGGGAGGAAGGAAGGAAGGAAGGAGAGGATACAGACTAGATCAATAAACTAGCTTGGATAGAGCAGGAAGAAACTGGCTGGAGGCAGGAGCCTTCCTCCCCATCTCCAGACTGGACTTACCTGCACCACCTGCCTCTCCTCTCAGCTCTGGGTTCAGTCGGCAAGGCTCCCTTCGTTTCCCCCCACCCTTTGGTGGAGCTGTGGCAGCAGAGAGCCAGCTAGAAGCTCTGATCTCCCAGTGGTGTGTGCCTGCCTGTGTTTGCCTGGCTTTTCTTCCACGGATCCTATTGGGGTGGGGAGGTTAGGTTGGGGGAGGGCCAGGCAAATTGTAAGGAGGGTGGGGAGGAGTGAGGAAGGGAGGGGAGAAGGGAGGGAGGGAGGGGAGAAGGGAGGAGGGAGGGAGCTTGGGAAAGGAGGAATGACAACAATAAAGTCTTTATTTAGCAGCCAAGACTCCCAAAGACTTCATCCACACACCAGGCCCACTAACGGACCCATTTTTAATAACATTTCCTTCTGCTGCTACTGCTTCTGGGAGGGAGATTGTTTGACCCATGTTTGGAAAACAGGCCAAATTAACAGAGGAAAAGGAATGAAAAGCGTCAGACTCTTTCATTCCTCCTCCTAACAATTGCCTTTCTTCTAATGCCCCTCACTCCCCTGCTGTTGCATTCCCAAATGTGAGGGGTATGGGATGTGTCCTCTGAGCAGTGACAATCCTTCCCTGGGTCACCTTGTCTAGGAGGTTGCTAAGGGAATGGAGTCTTGCTGCGTGTGAGTTAGCACAAGAGACAGCCTTGGTTTGGCTGCCAGGATGCTCTGAGGACCAGAGAGGGAAAAGTCTGGCCTGGGATCACACTGCTAAGGTAAGGCAGAATAAAGATTTTATGTAAGACCTAAAGTCACTGTCCGTGTGAACAACGTCAGTGTCTTTTTTCAGCTTCTCCATGTATATTACACTCAGGAGAGAGTTGAAGGCTGTATGGTCATCACACAAAATACATGAGGAAACCCAAATGTCCCCTGTCCATGTCATCCCAGAAGACCCTTTCAAGTAAGACCATTACCTCTAACAATTCTCCTCAGTTAAAAAACTGCAACACACTTGTAGCTAAGTGTTAAGTAACAGCCCATTGAAACTTCCTGCCACCTAAGCTGATTACTTAGAAAACTTGATGTTTACTTTTTCTATCATCAGGTCCCTGGAGAGCAGCTTCATTGGAAGCATTAGCTGGGAGAGCATTTTGCGATTGGCTGGCTTCATATAGCCAGACCCTTAGCCTCCTCCAGAAAGAGCTTCCCTTCTTGGAGTCTTGGGGACACCAACTGGTGTAGCTTTACCCCAAGGGAGGTATTTATCTCTTTTTGGTGTGTCAAGGACAATATGAGGTGAAGGCTGGGAAAAGTGGTGGGAAGTCAAGATACCTGGGTTGCTGCTGCAGTTGCCGACTCCTAGGATGGAGCTAGGAGGCGGAATGTGGGGACAGAAAAGTGCAGGGAAGGTGAGGCAGTGGGGAGGTGGCTCTCCAATGTGGTGGATTACAGCTACATTTCCAGAGAGTCAGGACCTGCTCACACTTCCCACCCAGGTTGAAATCCCATCTTGGGGGCTCACTGCTTATTTGATCTGCACAGTAACTGCTGCTTGATTACAGGCAGTGAGTGCTTAAAGCAAGAGAAGAAAGGGCACGATTGTCTATGATCCTTTCCACAGGGAGGCAGCTCAGGCTCCCCACCTCCCTCCCCACTGCCCTGTCTGGAGACTCTGCCAGGAGGTGTGGCCCTGAGCAGTTTGGGCTCAACTGCCCCATGGTCATCAGGCCCACAGGGACTGGATCTGGGTCAGACCCTCACCCCTCACAAACTGAGGCTCACAGCCTCGGGTGGCTGGGGGTCCGGGCAAATGCGCAACAGGGAGGAGCTGTGGGAGTCTTGTGGTAGCGTACCCCTCAGCCAGCCTGGGGGTCTGGGTCACCTGGGGTGAGTGGCTCCTGGTGGGTAGAGGCAGCATCCTGCCCATCATGGTATAACCCGCAGCACCCACCTGAGGCTTGGCACAGCCTGGGTGCTCAGTAGGAGTCTGTTTCATCACATTTAAGAGGGTTGAACAAGGAAATTCTGTCGATCTCTTTTTTTTTTTTGCGGTACGTGAACCTCTCACCGTTGTGGCCTCTCCCGTCGCGGAGCACAGGCTCCGGACGCGCAGGCTCAGCGGCCATGGCTCACAGGCCCAGCTGCTCCGCGGCATGTGGGATCCTCCCAGACCGGGGCACAAACCCGTGTCCCCTGCATTGGCAGGCGGACGCTCAACCACTGCGCCACCAGGGAAGCCCTTTGTTTTTTAAAAAATTAATTAATTAATTAATTTATGGCTGTGTTGGGTCTTCGTTTATGTGCGAGGACTTTCTCTAGTTGCGGCGAGCGGGGGCCGCTCTTCATCGCGGTGCACGGGCCTCTCATTGCCGCAGCCTCTCTTGTTGCGGAGCACAGGCTCCAGACACGCAGGCTCAGTAGTTGTGGTTCATGGGCCTAGTTGCTCCGCGGCATATGTGGGATCTTCCCAGACCAGGACTACGAACCCGTGTCCCCTGCATTGGCAGGCGGATTCTTAACCACTGCGCCACCAGGGAAGCCCCTCGATCTCTGTTTTAAAAATGTTATTACTGTAAAAATATGAAAAGCTAATACCTTCTCTTGATTCAAAATCCAAAAGGTACGAAAGATTGCACCGGGGAAAAGTCTTCTCCCCCTGCCTGTTTCCCCATAACCCAGTTTGCTTCAGGACACAATCAGCATACCAGTTTCTTGCGTGCTGCCAGATTTAACTTAATGCACATACCAGCAATAGGTTCAAGCAACTATGCACTTTTATTTTTACTCAGTAGGATATCTTGATGATCACTCCATATTGGTGCATAAGGCTCTCTCTCACTCTCTGCCCCATATTTGTCTGAGAAGCCCCTCCTGATGGACATTTGGGCTTGTTGCCACCTCCTGACCCATTTTTAAGGTAAGCAGTGCTGGGCTTGGAGTCTCACAAACTTGGGTCCAGTTCTGGCTCTGCCTCCTTTCCATGCTAACTAGGTGGCCTTGGGCTACTCATTTGCCCTCTCTGAGCCTCAGTTTTCTCATGTGTGTGTGGCAGGTATCAATTGCAGTCTACTGACTAAGTAGTTAAATTATTTTACAATTTAAACTTTCTTCTATAATTTAACTTAGTTTCTGAATCTGAGCACTCTTGTCACTGGGACAGTGGAAAACTCCACCTCAGCCCTGGGTGTCCCTCCCCTCGGGGTTGTCCAGCTGCTGAGGCAGTTAACGTTTTACCTCCAGTGCTACAGGACATGCCCTTCATCCTGGGAGGCCCCTCTGGCCTGGCAGCCCTCTGATGCTTTCTAAGGCTGTGTACTGAGGACAGAAACCTTCTGCAAAGCTGTCATTTCCTTTCTGGAGACATGCTGGCTCCTGGCACTTTGCCAGGGGCTCAGGCCCACTCCCCCCCCCCCACCCCAAATTCTACCCTGGCCTGGCCCCAACCAGGGACCATTTCTTCTCGGGGAGGAAGCTTCCTTATCCTCTTTACTTCTGGCCAAGACACTGCATGTATACTCAGAAACCCCCAAGGGCTCTGGTTGTCAACCAAAGGGAGGGGCAAAGACAGGGAGGGGAGAAATGAACCGTGTCTGCACCCACACAGGGAGTGCAGTTGTACTGGAGAACCCTGAAATCCCTTTCTGCTCATTGTTCATGATCCTGTCCAGAGGTTGTCAATTTGTGGGCCAGCTGAGCAGTCCTGCTACACCATCAGCTGGCATGACCAGACAACACTGGTCAGGGGGCTGCTTAGTCAGGATTGCTTCCAGAGTTCCTCAGGTCCTCGAGAAGCCAGGCTCAGGGGAGTGGTAATGGCATTTTGCCTTCCAGGGTGAGGTCCTCCAAGGTTCTGGGATGCCTCTTCCACCCTTTAATTACAGCATCCTGGAACTCCAGTCTAACTTAATATTTATGTTGTAAAAATTGCCTTTTGCAAGTCACAACACCTAGATCTAATATCCAAGTTCCTGATATAATTCTGATAAGTCACCGATGGCATCCTGCTCCATGCAATGGAATAGTGGGTAATGACACTGCCTTACATAGGCACAGTCACACCGCCACCATGTGATGATGACACGTGGACATATGTAGTTAATTATGCCCCATGTTGCAAAATTCAGGAGGGCAGGAGCAACTCAGGCTGACCTGGGGCCACCACACATGACCTTAGGCGTCCTCACATCCACATGTGCACCAAGCATCATCTTTAACCTGAATAAAAGTTATAGTAATAGCTAAAGCTCATTGAAGTTTACCATACCTCAAGCCTTCCTCTCAGCCCTCTACACGAACAACTCTTCAATCCTAGTACAACTCCATGATGCGGTACTGCTGAAACACCCATCTGACAGGTGAGGGATGGAGGCACAGATAGTTCATGTGCCCAAGGTCACACGTCTAGTAATGGTAGAGATAAGACTGGAATCCAGGTTGTTCTGCTTCCAATGTTCTTGTTCATGTATATATCTATGCTGTTGTGATGAATAAAAAGCAAGTTCTTTGAAATGATCTAGAGATCATTTTAGAAACCCATGTAGCTGGTGTCCTTAGGTATTTTCTATTAATGCAAGTTTAACTATCATCCCATTTTCTTTTAGGTTGAAGAGAAATCCTCACACTCAAAACTGTTGAGAACCACTGATCCAGGCCTCAGTTTCTCATCCCTAAAATACAGATTTACTCTCAACTCCTCTCTTTCTCTCCCCCCAAACCGTATGGACTCCCTAAGTTCTATCAGTTGTATTTCCTTAGTGGCTTTGGCAGCTTCCCCACTCACCTGCCATGGCACTACAGCACTACTGGGGCTCCCGAACGAGTGTCCCTGCCTCATCCCTCCCTCTGGCCTCCACCTTCCACCTGGATCTTCCTAAGGCGCAGATCTGACCAGATCACCTTTCAGTGACTTCCTGTCCCCATAACCGTGGTTCTTAGCCTATGGTGCAGGTCAGATTCACCAGAGAGCTCTTAAAAATGTCTGAGCCCCCCCAACCCCCCGCCTTAGAGATGCTGATTCAAATAGATCTGTATTTTTTTTTTTTTTTTTGCGGTACGCGAACCTCTCACTGTTGTGGTCTCTCCCCTTGCGGAGCACAGGCTCCGGACGCACAGGCTCAGTGGCCATGGCTCACGGGCCCAGCCGCTC